TTTTGGTTTCAAACATTTGATGAAAAGAAGTGGAATCAGTTTTACAGTGAAATTTTAGGTAAGTCCTATTTTCTAATGGCAATGAAAATTCCAAAATTAGTCATGTCTCTGAGGGTGAGCCTGAGGGAGTATGAAGTCAGAGAAGTTAAACTTTTAAAAGTATGGTGATAAAATAAAAAAATATTTTGTCAAATTAATACATCAAACTCAAAACTCTATGGAAAAGCTTAAGTTATAAAGTTCGTTTGAAATATTTGGATATAGCAGGAAGTCACACACACAAAATAAGCCACTGAGGACTTACCTTGGGAGTCACACACCTATATTACCCTTTTAGTGTCCATTTTATTTCATCTTCAAAAGCAATAATTTTTAATGTTACTCCATGTCTTCATGAGTCTAGAATGTAGTTTGATGACCCCTACAAATATTTCTAGAACAATTATCTATGTAGCTTTGAGAGAATCATCTCTGTATCTGTAGATTAGTTTCCACATTTATAAATTAAAATATTTTGTCACTTAATTCATCTCTCACATTGTGCCTTTCTCATATGTCCACATAAAAATGAGCAACATATATGTTTTTTATATATGCACATATACATACACACACATTAGCTTTATTAAATCACAGACACTCTTAAACATTTTTGGCTTCATTATTAAAAGATTTTTCAGATACTTACCAGACATATTCATTTCCACATGATAACTTTCTAATGTCCTATAGCTTTTACATTCCTTCTCCTGTTCAGGACGACCCAGTACATTATTAGATACAATGTCAAAAGCAGATATCTGGCTCATTAGAACCTATTGGGATTTGGAATTTCCTCGCCCAACCCTACCAAATGTTGATTTCGTTGCAGGACTCCACTGCAGACCTGCCAAACCTCTGCCTAAGGTAAACTATTCCTATTTAGTTGGTTCTGTTGACCTTGCATTTTCACTAAGAATGATTCTCTGTTCTCATTCAGAATGTCTCATTCACTGTGAAAAAAAAAAGGTATAGGAAATGGGACAAAGAGATCTGTAGATAGAAATTCTTACATGTCTATGCATATTCACATAACCATGTGAATTTTATTTTTTAATAGTAGAAAAGTAAAACCTGGGGACTTTTGAGAGTTACACAAAGCTCCAGTTAAATTAAGGTCTTTATTTCTCADCATACAAGACAATATCAGTCATTAATTCAAAGAAATGACTAGCATGTACCATAGGAAAGTTCTTTATATGCATAGAAACAAACTAACACAGTCTCTTCTCCCAAATACCTTCATTCTACATTGAAAGACAGACTGTGAACATGAAAGAGAAGTTTTGTAAGAAATAATATAATAGGGAAGGACCACAGGCATTTCCTGTCTACCCAAGGCTATCGGGGAACTTCAGGAAAACTCCCTGTGGGAAAGTGGGTCACCACACTTTAATTGTCTTACAGAAAAAAAGAGATATACTGCAGAGTTATCAATGACCATAAATTTTGCATATTTGAAGAATATATATTAACTTG